CAAATCAGTTTTGGTTTGAAACTAAACACTCTTTTTTGGATTTCTCTGATCTTCCACTGAAACAAAAAAATCAATATTTACTCAGCGGTATATAGGAGCCTTTCTGCCTTCTCTAGAAGCACTTTACTTGGAAGCCACAGTGGTGAAGTGACTAGAATGGTGTTTGACTACTTCAGAGGAATGTGGGTGGAATAACATCAAAGTTTTGTTTTAAATTTGCAGTGTCTCTATAATCCTTTCTCTCTTCTCCAGGCGCTGGGGATATGTGGCGTGCATACAGCGAAATGCGGGAGGCGAATTATAAAAATGCAGATAAATATTTCCATGCTCGTGGGAATTATGATGCTGCCCAAAGAGGGCCTGGCGGTAAATGGGCAGCAGAAGTTATTAGGTAATGGATTCTACTTGGATTATGAGATACAAGTCGGTAAAGAGCTATGCAATCAAATTACTATGAAGTACATTGTAATTCATAACTAGTTATTGTCCTGTTTGAAGTGAGGACATTTTTATTTAACCTCTGAACTGGCTAAGTGTGAAGACCATGCCCATTCTTGAGTTGTAAAGGTGATTTCTGAGCTGACCTATTTGGATATGTTCTGATATCAGATCCCATTACTATGGGCAGGGAGGCCGATGTTTTCACCAGAGGGCTTTTAAAATTTAAATAATTGCAGGACCTCACTTTAATCTAGAACCAGTACATATTGCCCTTGGTACTTCATCCAAGAAAACTATGATCATAGGTTCACTTGTAGTCCTCTAACAAGGACTATTTTAAAATATTGCTGTTGAACGTGATGACTATGATACAAAGGAGTTTGAGGAGTGGGTAGAACTTAGTGAAGGCAAGTAATGGGAAAGCTTTTTAATTCACAACTGATGCACTTCTGGGATGACCTCTGCTATTCACAGACAGGCTAAGGTTTGTGTCTGTGTTTGTGTGTGACAAGGTAGGCGAGCTAATATCTTTTATTGGAACAACTTCTGTTGGTGAGGTATTTGTGCGGGTCCTCAGTTTTATGGAAAAGTAGTGATTAAACTGTGGGGGATAAGTGAAAAGTAAATAATTTAGTTATTGAGATTTAATAATAAACTAAGATAATCTTTGTTTCCTTTTTCCAGTGATGCTAGGGAAGGTTGGCAGGGTGGCATTAGTGGCAGAGGAGCAGAAGACACACGTCAAGACCAGGAGGCAAATAAATGGGGCAGAAGTGGAGGAGACCCAAACCGCTACAGACCAGAGGGCCTTCCCTCAAAATACTAATGCAGCCTGTAATACTTTACAATGGTTCCATTTTTCTACCAGTTGTGCAAAACCACAATAAATAAAATCTTAAATTTCGGAAGCTCTCAGTGAATGAACAAATATCCTCAGCTACATTAGAAAGGATAAAAAGCAATATACACACAAATCTTCATGACTTGGGGCCAAAGGTAACCCTTAACTGCCCGGGATTTGGAAGATTCTTCCAGATTATTTAATGATTGTCCTTTACTGGATTTGTTGCATATTCCTGTGAAGCAGCGGGCACTGGCCACTGTCAGAGACAGGCTACTGGACTATTGTGATCCATTATGATAATTCTCCTTGTTATTGTTATAACCATTTTACAGACAAGGATGTTAATTGACTTGCCTAACTTCATAGGGGAGTCTATAGCAGAACTAGGAATGGAGTCCAGTCCTCTAACCATAAGACCATCCTACCTGGCTAATTAGTTTGGGGCGTAAAAACCACCATACAAAGTTTTAGGTATCATGGCAAAAATAGAAATGTTTGGGGCAGGTCAGGAGGAAAGTTAACATTTTAAATGAAAGGATGAAAACACATTTTCCATGGTGCTGGGAGTCTAGGTCCACTTTAATGAGCAGTAAACGGTGCTTATGTTTTAAAAGTATATATTGTTGCCAGGTGGGTAGAACCTCGGTTCCGTCTGAGGTCCGGCTAGAAAGGCTGGATCAGAGTCATCACTGGATGAAATTTCCCATTGTTGCCGAAGAGCAGGTGTGAGTGGAAACAGCATCAGAAAGGGGTGGCAAAACTAAGTTCAGGACTAGTTAATGTACATTGATAAAAACTTGGAAAGATTATAGGG